AAAGATGGTAAAATAATTGTATATGATGTTGAAACATGGACATTTTCATCATATATCAATGAAGGAGGCAGATAAAGACCTTGGTTGTGTAAATGGTACACCTGTTTCTGATATTGATGATTACGTTGCATAGGTTAACAGCTGCTAATGATTGGTTGTTGAGTTAAAGCAGGGCCACTATATAAAGAGAGAGCAGACTCAAAATGCAAGACTGCTGTATGTCCCGTTGGGCATCAACAAATCTGTCTGGGAAATACTGTCACCACAGTGTTCTGCTTCTAACCTGATAGTGATGTCTGTTCTCAGGTAGGCTTTTGAATTGTAGCTGTTGGCTTTGCTTTTAAGTTATCTGTTTAACTGACATGTTGTGTTAATGTTTTCTTGTATTGCAGAGTGTCTTGGATTTGCTTGTTGCTGTATAGTGGCAGTCTTGCTTTTCCATCAATGAAAGGTAACATTACACATTTGTACTGTTTTGTGTCTGATTCTCACTTTAGTGTAGTTTTCTAAAGGCAAATTTTTCGTTTCCCATAGTTCACAACTCTCCCTCCAAGAAGGACAATCATAACATTGGGGTTGATGGTGATGAAGATGCAAGCTACAAATCCCCATTAGCTGCAGCTCCAAAGCAGCCACTGTTGAACCCAAATAAAGGAGCTTGGAACCAGGGAGGTGGAGCTGTGGAGTTTGGACAGGAAAAGGACTGGGATGTCAAGCCAGTCACATTCCCTCAAAATCCCACCTACCAGCTTGAAAAAGGGTATGATGTGCAGTTGGGCAGCAAAAGGCCTCAATTTGCATCAGTGGATGTGTCCTATGACCCTTCCACCACACAGTCTTCAAAGCCTGGTAGCTCTGCTTTTCCTAGTTCTGACCTCTCTGACATGATCCCACCTGCATATCAGTCAACCAACTCTATAGATCCCTCTATTGCTCAGACCTTTGAGGCTGAACCAGTATCTAGCAGTAGTGGTGACTTGGGCTCTTTCCAGAACCTCAACTTCCAGGTTGGTGTACAAGATGGCTCACAAAGCTTTTCACCTAACCTGGTCAATGATGACTATTTCCAATATTCATCTGCTGAAGATGCAGAGCTTCCTTCTAAAGAGGTTGGCCCCTTCAACTATGACTTTGTGAATGCTGTCCAGCCAAGCAAGTGGTCCTCTGCTTATGTGACCAGAGAAGAGAAGCCAGTGTTCTCCAGTAATTCAGCCAACTGGGCGCATGCTCCTACCAGCACTGGCATTCAAACCTTGGAGGCTGAAGTGACCTTGGAGGCAAAGTCTTCCCAGAACCTCAACTTTCAGGTTGGTGTAAAAGATGGTTCACAAAGTTATTCCCCTACCCGCATCTACGAGGATGTTTTCAAGTACCCTTCTGCTGAGAAGGCAGAGCTTCCTTCCAAAGAGGTTGGCCCCTCCAACTACGACTATGTGAATGCTGTACAGCCAAGTACTTGGTCCTCTGCCTCCTATGTGACCAAAGAAGAGGCGCCAGTGTTCTCCAGTAATTCAGCCAACTGGGCCCATGCTCCTACTAGCACTGGCATTCAAACCTTGGAGGCTGAAGCGACATCTAGTAGTGGTGTTAAAGGGGCTGACTTTGGCTCTTCCCAGAACCTCAACTTCCAGGTTGGTGTAAAAGATGGTTCACAAAGTTATTCCCCTACCCTCATCTACGAGGATGTTTTCAAGTACCCTTCTGCTGAAAAGGCAGAGCTTCCTTCCAAAGAAGTTGGCCCCTCCAACTATGACTTTGTGAATGCTGTACAGCCAAGTACTTGGTCCTCTGCCTCCTATGTGACCAAAGAGGCGCCAGTGTTCTCCAGTAATTCAGCCAACTGGGCCTATGCTCCTACTAGCACTGGCATTCAAACCTTGGAGGCTGAAGCGACGTCTAGTAGTGGCATTAAAGGGGCTGACTTTGGCTCTTCCCAGAACCTCAACTTCCAGGTTGGTGTAAAAGATGGTTCACAAAGTTATTCCCCTACCCTAATCTACGAGGATGTTTTCAAGTACCCTTCTGCTGAAAAGGCAGAGCTTCCGTCCAAAGAGGTTGGCCCCTCCAACTACGACTATGTGAATGCTGTACAGCCAAGTACTTGGTCCTCTGCCTCCTATGTGACCAAAGAAGAGGTGCCAGTGTTCTCCAGTAATTCAGCTAACTGGGCCAAGGCTGCACATGCCTCCAAAAATGCTCAGACCTTGGAGGCTGAAGTGACATCTAGTAGTGGCACTAAAGGGAGTGGCTTTGGCTCTTCCCAGAACCTCAACTTCCAGGCTGGTATACAAGATGCGTCAAGTTATTCACCTAAACTTGACATCAAGCAATACCCATCTCCTAAAAATGCAAAGCGTCCATTCAAAAAGGGTGGTGCCTCCTGGGCCCAGTCTTATCCTGCTAAAAGCCCTGGTTCTCTCAATCATGTAACTGATTTGACCTTAGACACTCCTTCAAGTAAAGTCGCTGCACAACCACTACGCCTCCAGTCAGTGAACAAGGTTCCTCAGCTGCCCAGCACCCAGCAGCTTGAGATGCCACAGAAGGTGAGCGAACCATTCCCATCAACCTACATTGTTCAAGCCAACAGTGGATACCGTCGCGGCAGGAGGGTATACTCCAAGACCAAATACTCCAGCAGTGTCCCTCAACCTGCCCCAATTGGCCTTAAGGGACCAAATGGGGTTAAACTGTGACTACATTCATCTTCATGTATTCTGTGAATCATTGTGTATAATGATGAAAAAATAAACCGTTTTAACTTTAAAATGTCACTTGGTATGTCTCTAATTTAGCGTTGTTGAACTGTCTGACAACCTTTTACAAGGGCTCAGTTTATGTAACATGTTTCCTGAATTTAGAAGGTTCACATTAGGGGTCTCCTGCCAATGTCACAGGGGAGGTCTGACATTAAAATGTGTGGGTTTGTTTGTTTTTTTTGCCAGCACATTGCAAATCACTAACAATTGGGTAATATTTGTCTCCAATGCCAGAATATTGGAAAAAGCTTCACAACAAAATGCACAACGGTTTAAGGCCCAAATTCAGGGAATGCAACCATCAAGCTGGCCCACGCAGCAATATTGCTGCACAGAACATTTCATGAGCATAATGCTATTCCAGATCGGCTTTGGAGTTGGACACACAATGACTAAGATTTACAGGTGTCCATCTTAAAAGCAATGTACAAGATCACCATGCGCTACTGATCTGAAAATAACGTGTCCACATCTGCCCAAGAGCAGAAATTATGTATTCTCCAGAAGTACTTTGCTACAAATGAGCAAACTGATTTTGGATCTTTTCACATGTCTTTAATGCATTGCCTTCACTGTTGCCGTGTCCTTTCAACTGAATCAATCAGGAAGGTGCAAAACACTGATCGTACAGCACTTCATAACATGGGGTTGGGCCAAAAGTAAATGGAATAACATTCAGCCAAAATGCTGACATGGGAGTAGCTCAAACTATTTCTGTAGTACTTTTCATATGGATATTTGTCCAGAGAATGTGGTGACCCGGCAATCCAAATACTATAACTGATCTAACTGCATCAGGAAAACTATTCTGATTCCCTATTTTTAAATGACAAGCAGTCACCCAGCTTCAACTACTACTCAAACATCTTTGCAGAGTTTGGATGTTATTCAGCCTTCAGCTTTGCGTGTGTTTTGTGGTGCTTTTCACACAACTGCAATACATGCACTGCTCGGAGCTGAGGGAGGTTTCTCTTGGGCTTCAGCGGTTGAGGCTGGGTCTTGGCAGTGGGTTAAAGGTGCTCTATGTAAGATTTTGAAAATAAACAACCAAAACACTGGGCGAATGTGATTGACAGGCAAGATGGATTCCCTGAACCAATAAGGGAAGTGATGCCCTGATTGGTCAGAAATGAGCCAGGAGTGGTCTAAAATCTAAACTGGCAGAGGAAATTCTCCTTAGATCAACTTTTTTTCATTTAATATTATCCCTGCTGGGTCAACACACATATGGGCATGATTTACTCTTCTGTCCTATTTTGTGTCTTTTGTTTGGGGAAGTAACCTTTAAATGTGCATGTGGCACCTATTCATGTAAATCATAAATTAATTCATTTTAATTAATTTATAAAACCCTGGACTTTGTGTTTCAGCAAGATTTCTGCTGATGTTCAAAACTTTCTGCACATTCAAAACATATCACACATATCTGTGTTCTGGGATGATTAATATGAATCCTGTACATCTGTGTGTGTGTTTGGGAGTAAAGTAAAAAACCTAGTGCTAAAGGAAATAGACCTGCCACAGTTGGAGACATTGTTGCATCTATGAGTAAAGTTATAGAGGTTTTTCTAAATAAAAGTCCTCTGCTTTCATTTGTTTATCGGGGGGGGGGGGGGCAAATGCACATGTCCTTAAAATGGAGGGGGATGTATCCCCTGCATCCCCCCCAAAATCTACACCTATGCATCCAACCTCATTCACCATCCACACTCATTCACCCTCCCGTTCATCCAACCACTGATACATTCTCATTCCTCCATGCACCCACCAACTCTGATTCCACCTCTTTCATCCACATACATGCTTATTCATTGAGACCATACCAATACCAACCTGGGCGGGACAACCTCTAGAACTAATCACCCACCACTCCCTCAACTGCGCCACTGGCCATGATCTGGTCAGAGGTTATAATTGACATTACAATTCGCATGACATCATTTCCAAAGGAGAGCCTTCTTGGAGGGACTAGAACGCAGGTCTGCAGTGCTGATGAACAGTAGCTCTCTCCACTGGTCCACAGAGATGCTGCCTATCACCTGGTTATAGTTGACATCACAATTCCCATGACATCATTACGTTCCTAAAATTGCATTTCGATGGAGAAAGCCCTCCGCGGGAATTTAACTGATGTCTCCAGAACTTTCCATTGAGACTGACCTTGGTGGGAGTTAAACCCAGGGACCCGTTTCAAGTAGCAGGTTAGGGTATCTTCAACCTAGAACTTCCAAAGTTCCTGATTAGCTCAACTGGTAGAGTGTGGCATTAATGTTGCATGGGTTAAGGGTTCAATTCCCACAGGGACCACCTATGCTAAAAATGTGTAGTATAAAATTGCAAGATAGGTTTGATAAAAGTGTCCACCAATTGGCATGTGTAAATAAAAAAGCAGCATACACTTCACCCAAAACAGCTGATTTCCCTCAATCTTGAGTAAGTTGAACCTGAAAAATGCACGTTCATGACAGACTTCAAAAGCCAACATTTATCGCACCCTGAGAATGTGATCGATCAGCGGTCAGTGCTTTTATGGGTTAAAGCCTAGTCTCTTCCTTTGAATGTCACCATGGAAAGGCTGGTCCTGGCTGGTTGAAGGGTATATTCACCAATAACACAATATAGGTTTCTGCCAAATAAGACTCAGGTTTATGTTCCTATCTGAATGGTGCCTATGCTATTCTTATTTTCATTGCCTTGACAACGCTTTTAAGAGCCAGCAGTGACCTGAAAAGTGATCACATGTGTAGTGAATTTCATAAAAGTATCAGAATGATCCTAAAGATGGTAAAATAATTGTATATGATGTTGAAACATGGACATTTTCATCATATATCAATGAAGGAGGCAGATAAAGACCTTGGTTGTGTAAATGGTACACCTGTTTCTGATATTGATGATTACGTTGCATAGGTTAACAGCCGCTAATGATTGGTTGTTGAGTTAAAGCAGGGCCACTATATAAAGAGAGAGCAGACTCAAAATGCAAGACTGCTGTATGTCCCGTTGGGCATCAACAAATCTGTCTGGGAAATACTGTTACCACAGTGTTCTGCTTCTAACCTGATAGCGATGGCTGTTGGATCTGTTCTCAGGTAGGCTTTTGAATTGTAGCTGTTGGCTTTGCTTTTAAGTTATCTGTTTTACTGACATGTTGTGTTAATGTTTTCTTGTCTTCCAGAGTGTCTTGGATTTGCTTGTTGCTGTTTAGTGGCAGTCTTGCTTTTCCATCAATGAAAGGTAATATTAAACATTTGCACTGTTTTTATGTCTGATTCTCACTAGTGTAACGTGGTTTTTCTAAAGGCATATTTTTCCTTTCCCATAGTTTACAACTCTCCCTCCAGGAAGGACAATCGTAACATAGGGGTTGATGGTGATGAAGACGCAAGCTACAAATTCGCTGCAGCTCCAAAGCAGCCACTGTTGAACCCAAATGAAGGCGCTGGGAACCAGGGAGGTGGAGCTGTGGAGTTTGGACAGGAAAAGGACTGGGACTTCAAGTCAGTCACATTCCCTCTAAATCCCACCTACCAGCTTGAAAAAGGGTATGATGTGCAGTTGGGCAGCAAAAGGCCTCAATTTACATCAGTGGATGTGTCCTATGACCCTTCCACCACACAGTCTTCAAAGCTTGGTAGCTCTGCTTTTCCTAGTTCTGAAGTCTCTGACATGATCCCACCTACATATCAGTCAACCAACTCTATAGATATCACTATCGCTCAGACCTTTGAGGCTGAAGATGTTGGCCCCTTCACCTATGACTCTGTGAATGCTGTCCAACCAAGCAAGTGGTCCTCTGCTTATGTGACCAGAGAAGAGAAGCCGGTGTCCTCCAGTAATTCAGCCAACTGGGCCCATGCTCCTACCGGCACTGGCATTCAAACCTTGGAGGCTGAAGTGATGTCTAGTAGTGGCATTAAAGGGGTTGACTTTGGCTCTTCCAAGAACCTCAACTTCCAGGTTGGTGTAAAAGATGGTTCACAAAGTTATTCCCCTACCCGCATCTACGAGGATGTTTTCAAGTACCCTTCTGCTGAGAAGGCAGAGCTTCCTTCCAAAGAGGTTGGCTCCTCCAACTATGACTATGTGAATGCTGTGCAGCCAAGCAAGTGGTCCTCTGCTTATGTGACCAGAGAAGAGAAGCCAGTGTTCTCCAGTAATTCAGCCAACTGGGCGCATGCTCCTACCAGCACTGGCATTCAAACCTTGGAGGCTGAAGTGATGTCTAGTAGTGGCATTAAAGGGGCTGACTTTGGCTCTTCCCAGAACCTCAACTTCCAGGTTGGTGTAGAAGATGGTTCACAAAGTTATTCCCCTACCCTCATCTACGAGGATGTTTTCAAGTACCCTTCTGCTGAAAAGGCAGAGCTTCCTTCCAAGGAGGTTGGCCCCTCCAACTACGACTATGTGAATGCTGTACAGCCAAGTACTTGGTCCTCTGCCTCCTATGTGACCAAAGAAGAGGCGCCAGTGTTCTCCAGTAATTCAGCCAACTGGGCCCATGCTCCTACTAGCACTGGCATTCAAACCTTAGAGGCTGAAGCGACATCTAGTAGTGGCATTAAAGGGGCTGACTTTGGCTCTTCCCAGAACCTCAACTTCCAGGTTGGTGTAAAAGATGATTCACAAAGTTATTCCCCTACCCTCATCTACAAGGATGTTTTCAAGTACCCTTCTGCTGAAAAGGCAGAGCTTCCTTCCAAAGAGGTTGGCCCCTCCAACTACAACTATGTGAATGCTGTACAGCCAAGTACTTGGTCTTCTGCCTCCTATGTGACCAAAGAAGAGGCGCCAGTGTTCTCCAGTAATTCAGCCAACTGGGCCCATGCTCCTACTAGCACTGGCATTCAAACCTTGGAGGCTGAAGCGACGTCTAGTAGTGGCGTTAAAGGGGCTGACTTTGGCTCTTCCCAGAACCTCAACTTCCAGGTTGGTGTAAAAGATGATTCACAAAGTTATTCCCCTACCCTAATCTACGAGGATGTTTTCAAGTACCCTTCTGCTGAAAAGGCAGAGCTTCCTTCCAAAGAGGTTGGCCCCTCCAACTACAACTATGTGAATGCTGTACAGCCAAGTACTTGGTCTTCTGCCTCCTATGTGACCAAAGAAGAGGCGCCAGTGTTCTCCAGTAATTCAGCCAACTGGGCCCATGCTCCTACTAGCACTGGCATTCAAACCTTGGAGGCTGAAGCGACGTCTAGTAGTGGCGTTAAAGGGGCTGACTTTGGCTCTTCCCAGAACCTCAACTTCCAGGTTGGTGTAAAAGATGGTTCACAAAGTTATTCCCCTACCCTCATCTACGAGGATGTTTTCAAGTACCCTTCTGCTGAAAAGGCAGAGCTTCCTTCCAAAGAGGTTGGCCCCTCCAACTACGACTTTGTGAATGCTGTACAGCCAAGTACTTGGTCCTCTGCCTCCTATGTGACCAAAAAAGAGGCACCAGTGTTCTCCAGTAATTCAGCCAACTGGGCCCATGCTCCTACTAGCACTGGCATTCAAACCTTAGAGGCTGAAGCGACGTCTAGTAGTGGCATTAAAGGGGCTGACTTTGGCTCTTCCCAGAACCTCAACTTCCAGGTTGGTGTAAAAGATGGTTCACAAAGTTATTCCCCTACCCTAATCTACGAGGATGTTTTCAAGTACCCTTCTGCTGAAAAGGCAGAGCTTCCGTCCAAAGAGGTTGGCCCCTCCAACTACGACTATGTGAATGCTGTACAGCCAAGTACTTGGTCCTCTGCCTCCTATGTGACCAAAGAAGAGGCGCCAGTGTTCTCCAGTAATTCAGCTAACTGGGCCACGGCTACACATGCCTCCAAAAATGCTCAGACCTTGGAGGCTGAAGTGACATCTAGTAGTGGCACTAAAGGGAGTGGCTTTGGCTCTTCCCAGAACCTCAACTTCCAGGCTGGTATACAAGATGCGTCAAGTTATTCACCTAAACTTGACATCAAGCAATACCCATCTCCTAAAAATGCAAAGCGTCCATTCAAAAAGGGTGGTGCCTCCTGGGCCCAGGCTTATCCTGCTAAAAGCCCTGGTTCTCTCAATCATGTAACTGATTTGACCTTAGACACTCCTTCAAGTAAAGTCGCTGCACAACCACTACGCCTCCAGTCAGTGAACAAGGTTCCTCAGCTGCCCAGCACCCAGCAGCTTGCGATGCCGCAGAAGGTGAGCAAACCATTCCCATCAACCTACATTGTTCAAGCCAAGGGTGGATACCGTCGCGGCAGCAGGGTATACTCCAAGACCAAATACTCCAGCAGTGACCCTCAACTTGCCCCAATTGGCCTTAAGGGACCAAACGGGGTTAAACTGTGACTACATTCATCTTCATGTATTCTGTGAATTGTGCGTGTGTATAGCAAATCTCAGATGTATTTTCCCTCTTCCAGGATGAGCAGTATAATGATGAAAAAAATAAACCTTTTTAACTTTAAAATGTCACTTGGTACGTCTTCTAATTTAGAGTTGTTGAACTGTTTGACTCTTAGACAAATGTAAAGGGGCCAGCCAAAATGCCGACGAAGGCGATGCGCTAACTCTAGCCGTAGGACTTTTCTGCTGACTCGGCAATACTATAACTGATGTAACCATCAGGAGAACTTCTGATTCCGTATTTTTAAATGACACGCAATCACCCAGCTTCAGTGGCGATCTGTAGTACAACAAAGGATGAGTATGTCGCCGTGATCTGGCACTAAATATTTTAAATGCGAAGGATAATTGGAGTGAAATGCATTGACAAAATTGAAGCCAGTCAACGGGATGGGTGTCAATGCAATTGTAATGGTACATGATCCCTGAACTACACGCAGAGGAATATTGTTTTTGGTGGTGTTCTGATTTACATCAGCATAGTCAATAAGTAATGGCAACTGTGGCAATTTTCCTCACGTGACACAATACACTCAACTAATTTAATTTGGTAACAAATGGGGGACCTAAAAGTTATAAACCTAGGTCTAATGTACATTATGGGATTTATGTCAGCAACCCTACTCCCTTACCGGTCTGTCTCAGGCTGAGACCAGCCAGGAGGGAGAGACTAAATAACTTGATATAAGGCCCATTCCGATTAACAAATGCTGCCTGGCCGACTCAAACGCTTCCGTGTCCTAGTTGGTACAGGAAGTGATGTTATTGGTGGGCGTGTGGCTTGCGGCGGGGAGAGAAGTGAGTGATTTTGTCTTGCCGACGATGGAACAGGTAAGCTGCGTTGGTCTGGAGACAATACAGGTTATTAACATACGTTCATGGTTACTGTCTTTACATCTACATATAGCAGCGGATTTCGTCCAAAGCAA